GCTAATTCTTGCTCTTAGATTGGCCTCCAATAAGTACAAGCATTTAATATTATATGAAGGAAACAGGCAAGATTATAGGAGGACCGCTGACGTCAAAAAAGCGATCCAGCCGCTGTAGAACATGCAGTTTCCGCGCTCTAATTACAATCACCTTTAAATTCCTTCAAAAATGCTTTTTATACTCTCCACCTTCTATTATTGTTTAGGCTCCTTATAACATTTCGAGCAAGCTGTTGAATTCTTCATATCTCTATAATGGGCTCTAAAAAGAAGGCAAAAAAGAACGCCGACTTCAAGAAGGTTAAGCTGAAAGTTGGCAAGAAACTTAAGAAAACTACCACGACCGATACGACTATTCAAAGTGATCTTCCATTCTTTGGCCATAGTTATTATTTATAGATTATGTTAGTTCTTCTTTTACAGCGAAAAAAATAGTGCTAATCTCCCAACTAGAAGAAAAATCGGAATCATCGGATAAACCGCTTTCCTACCGCGGTCTTTCTCTCGAAGAACTGTGCAGACAACTTGGTCACTTCAATAAAGTAGGAGTTCATGTTGTTTAGATTCAAGAAAAAGCTATTTCTGTCTTCAAAATGTTACTTAGTCTTCGTAATTTGCTGTTGTTACCATTACTATGGTTTCAATATTTTTAGAGTGTGCGAAGAGATGCTCTACTAGGTACAAAACAGTTATTGACTTCTCGCCCTGACTTGATCGAAACTCATCTGAGAACGTTGATTCCCTCCATAGCTCGTCTAATCGCGGATTGTGTAAGTATTCACCTTTTCTATCTTCAATGGGAGGTTATATATCATAGGTTTATTGAGATTAAGCCCTAAAATTTCAAATCCATTCATTTCTTTGATTTAAGGGTCATGATCCCGCTTTGAATGGCCAGCTTCGGGCACTTTTACGTGTCATCTGCTCCGTGTCTTCCCATGCGATGGCTGCCCACTTCACATTATTCGTGGCACATCTTCTTCACGCTCTAACGCATAGTGAAGCAGGGTGATTTAATTTTTTGATATAATACAAAGTTTTGTGTTTTGTTAGTAGACTACATTCTCAAACTAACAATGCTTTTCTTTCTGAATACAAACTCTTTTGATATTATAAAG